GTGTAAAGACGTTGTCTTGAGCGGTGATGCAGGTGGAGCGGCCTGAAGATGATACTGCAGCGATGGCGCCCAAGGTGAGTCGAAAGGTAGGTCTCACCTCTCCTGGCCTCCGCCCTGATACCTCCTAACTCCGCTAACTCTGGCTGAGCACTCTAGCACTCTAACGCTGCTCCTGCAGTGTGGTCGCTCAACTCCAAAATGCCGCATGCCAGAAATGAGGGCGGCCCAGCTATATATAGCGCTGAGCCTACTTGATACTTCTCCATTTTGCATCCTGGGACTTCCGATACTAATGCCCATCAACGGTCCAGAATGCAGGTTCAAATCCTGCTCCTGAGTCCTGGCCTCAAAATAGCTTGCCTGGTTCCCAACCGGACGTCCAGGCTCCTCTGCTGAACTATCCAAAGGTGTCCTCACAGGAGGACGAAACAGGGATTGAACCCAAAACGCAGTTCAGCCCTAAACGAAGTGCTCCAGGCATGAAAAAAAAAAAAAAAAAGACACACTTCGATGAACGCTTCCAGATCGGACTATCTAAAAAATGCTGAAAAGACACATCCAGACTGGACAAACCCGAAACAGACAGGTCTGACAAACAAACTCAGAACAGGCAAATGACTGAGAAAAAAACAACACAAAAGAACTCGAAAAAAAATCAGACAATCCAAAAAGAACACCCCCCCAAACCCGCACCTTACACCCCCGAAACCAGTGTTGCTGGGCCCGTGTGGGAGCCGTGCGTACCCCTCCAGGGCCCAGGAGGGGCCCATGAGGGCCCTCAAAAATGTGCAAGCGAAGAAGTGGAGCAACCAACAATCCAACAATCACTCCAGCATCACCCTTCTGCAAAACATGGAGGGCAGGTTTTTTTTTTTCTTTATCTTTTTTTTTTAACAGCCGTTGTACGGGGAGATGTCTTTTCACACTGGCGCTTGGTTGCAGCAGCACTGACAGAGTAGAAATGCAATGATGTATCAATCCCATCACATTTGGCTGAATGACAGAGACATGTAAAACCTCTAGACAAACCGATCCCGAGCTCGAATCCTCCGGTGGAATCAGACGAATACAACAATGTTTGGGGCTACCCCCTTTCCCAAAAGAGAAGAGTGACAGTGTGGAGCTGCACATTGTCACTGTCGGTCGTCCTCCAAATAGAACACATGGTGATTATGGCTGCATCTAGACTGAAAGTTGCCCCAAATACAGCTACAGTGACCGTACGTTCCATTCGGGGGAAGACAGTAGCCAATGGGAGCCACCTCTTTGTGGTAGGCTTGTTGATACATAGCAGAGAAGGGACAAGTGGACGAAGATCTGCTACTTCATTGTGCCGGACTGAGAAAGCAGGGCAAAGTGGTAGCGGAGAAGGGGAAAAAAAAAAAAAAAAAAAAGGTTCTGGCTCCATAGTAGTCCATATGCATTCTGGGGAGCATCAGTGTGGTTCCATTTCCACGGGCAAGTCAAGAGCTTTACATCAAAGACACACTCATACGCTTCTCGCCATTCTTTCTTCTTCTTTTCTTTTTTTTATTTTGGGAGGGGGGGGGACACATGAAGATAGGTTTATATAAAATTTGAAAAAAAAAAAAA